GTCTTTAAAATAGGGTATTTTATTTTTAGCGAGATGTAATTTTAGTGATTTGAAAATACTCATTCATAAAGCTATTGCAAATTAGATACAGTTTATTTTTTAGTGATATTTAATTTTAGCGATCTCAGAACCATCGCTAATAATGCCAAAATTAAATCCCCGCTACAAATTCTACTTATACGGTATTCAATATTGAGAAACTTACAAAATCTTCAGAGCAGATAGGAATGTACTGTTAATCACTTTTTATTCGCGAGAACTTTTTTGCATAGGTAATTACATGAGACAATGTGCTCTCGAAATTTTAATTCTTGCATATAATAGTATTCATTTAAATTAAATATAGCAATTACCACAATTCGAGAAAATCAAGAGTCAATGACTATCTAACGAAAATACAGTAACCTGAAACACATGAATATACAAAGATCTACAAACCTTACTGGTCTGTCACCAGGGTGGAAGTGTATTACTTTTCCGTACCCTAAATCACATTGAAGAGAAAGATTTATAATTATTAACAACTACCAACAAACTAGACAGCTGATTCCTTATACATGTATCTAATTCAGATGTGAAATAAAAGTTGAGTATAAATTTTAAAAATGCTGTCTACTTAAAGTACATGAGGAAATGCATAGTCCCCGACCACTGATGTTTTGTGGAAGATCAACCAGTACATTTGACCTTTCACTTGACTGAATTTACATTCAATCATAAATATCAAGAAATCAGCACACTTAAATTTCTAAAGTAATTGAACACATTAGGAATTTGAATGACCTGCATCATCCGTATTTGAGGGTTATAAGTTTTCATGCACACCTAAATTGTTTACCTCCCAATCTTTCCATGACAGCCCCCACTACCAGTCCCGAGCATGTGTCCACCACAGCTACATTTGTATAGGCATGGACATTTCCATAGGTCAGAATCTGTGCCAGTGTGTCCATTCTAATGTTACTGCAATAACGTGTATATTAATGGCTGTTTAATATCATAAGGTACAATATTGACAAATACCTACAGTCCTACAGTAGGTAGATGGTTAATGATGGTTTTGTGAGATTAGGTTTACAAATTCTGATATTTAGTATCATAAAGCTTCTTTCATTGATTGTCCTGAAGTACATGTACAAATGAAAACTATATTTACAGAATCTTTGCTGGTGACTTTTCATGGTACATCTGGCACATTAACCTGGTGTTTGGTTTTAGCACTGTAAACTCTGCCACATGTCTGAAACAATGAAAATCATTTTGCATTTTGCCTAACACAGGCCCTACTACCATAAACTGAGAATTAACTTAAGTCAAATATTCTATATTCAATATCTTATAAATTTTTCTTAAAAGTTTTGAATAGCATACCTATGATGGAATTTTTGCTTCATTATCCTTTTTTTTTCAAAATTTCTTTTGGTTTGAAATTTTGACTAGTCTGATTTTAGTCATCCTTGCAATGCCAGTGGTCCTGAGTCAACATGTTGCCTTTGGACCCTGGCATATATCACTAGAAATTGTAGGACTTGCTTTCTCATTGAGAAGCACCAATCAAATTAAAGCTTTCATAAACAGTTGGATAATGTAAACAAAAATGATTCAATTGACACCTCAAATGCATGTGTTACAAGTTGTTTATCATAGAATTGCTTAATGTGCAAAAGACGTTGCTTCAGTCAGCCAACAAATATTGAATGAAATATGCCAGGGGTCCCAACATGTTGACTCAAGACCACTGGCATTGCAAGGATGGTTCTTAGTTTATGGTCTTTGGCCAGATCTAGAATATAATTATAACACATTTCCAAACTTAAATGAGAGCATTCACATGACACTGTTTAGAGGATATTTTTCAGATTTTTTAATTACAGTCCTTACTTTTGCTTTTTCTTTTTGACCCATTTCTCTTGAGCAAACTCTGTCTTTCCTTTAAAAGTTGTACTGTTTTCTATAAGCTGCCCAATGATTTCCTGTATATACAAAGAAAGAACCATTATTTATATCAAGCAAATACCAAGCAAATCTGTTTTATAATATAGACACAGTATTTCATGTACAGAAGTGCCATACCACACCATTCAGATTTTTCTGTATATATTGTAAGATAATTGTGATAATACATATGTATTAAGCTCAGCAAATAAAGAATAATACTATTATATCAGCTGTAGTACCCCCCCCCCTCCCCAAATCACACATGTAAATGAGCAAATTAATTACCTACTTACATGTATAACAGACTTCATAAGTACTGATATAAATTCAAAACAATGATCTTCAAACTCTGCTTTCATTAATACATGTATTGGAAAACATATCATATGCATGTTCACTAAAATTCAAATTAAATACGAATCATTCAGCTCTACCTCTCCTTTAGCTCCTTCTTTTTTCATCTTCTCAATGTCTTCCCGTGATAACTTCTGATTGCTGTCCAGATCATGCAAGTTCCTGTTATCTGTTCCTTTCTCTGAACCTGAAAAAGTAAACAATTTTGAAATGCAAAAAGTTTTTTTTTTCAGTAATACATGTAAAAAAAATTTTCTCAAAACAGCTTTTCAAATACTTAGTTTGATGAACATTATTAATACCATGAATCTGCATTCAAAGTTCTCAAAACAAATAGAAACATATATGAAATACTTTAAACTGACTAAATTGATTATTTCTATTCTTTTGCACTAGTAAACAATTTTGTCCCATTTTAAATGTGCCAACTGCCAAGGCTCAGATGTTGTTTAATTAAGAGTTAATGCTGTCTTTTACGATTCAATCAGTTCTAAATTCACCCACTTGGGATCACCCGATGAAAGCAAAAATGAAACGGGGGTGAAAAAATTCCCTGTATTACCTGTATAAAAATCTAACTATTTCCTCTGTAGTCAAAAATAATGACCAATTAACAGGAGATAATGAATTATAGATTATGTAAGCTTCTCCCAGTTAATACCCTTGTGCCAGATATCAGAATATTTGGTCTACATTACCTAAAACTTCTGATTCTTTAAATGTTTTCTGTATCTTATGCATCTGTCCACTCTTGACCTCAAAGTTTGATCCATAGACATGACCAATAGCTCCATCAAGGGTAAACTTCATCTTGTCAAGCCATATATCTCTGTACATGATACGACATCAACGTAACACATAACAGAAATGAAAACTAAATAAATGTTTCATTAAGAAAAAGTGGTATCAAAAGAAATCAAGTGATATAGCACTGCAGATTGGAAAAAAAGACTCCAATAATGGCCTGGAATTATATTGCATAGTGCAAAATAAAATAATGTGTTTATATTGCATAGCGCAAAATAAAATAATGTGTAAGAAGATATACTCATATGCCAATAAATATTTGTATTTGTATTTGTATGCCCATTACTTGGCCAGGTCTGGTACAATCACTAGATTTAGCTACGTAGCTTGATTTACCTACTTAGCTTTATTTACCTACCTGAGGTAGCTTTATTTAGCTACCAGATCAATTTATATCTATTAAAAAAAACATTTTTCTCAGGATGTGCAAAAAATCCCAATTTGATGCAGTGATCATTTTCAACTTTGAACTCATCTGAAAGCAATTCATGAAAAAATCACTCTTGAAGAAATGTCTTTTTCTGCGCAATTGCAATCAAAGTTCTGAAAGTTTTGAGGCTATGTATGACAGTTAGAACAGTTACTCTTGGAATGAAATGACAAAGAAATCCAGTTCTGGTTAAAGGCAGAGATTTTTAGCACCGCCTTCAAAAGTACCTGGTCTGGGTAGCCCTGTCAATCAAGTGCGTGAAGTTCCATCATTGGATGCTGGAACTTGATTGACACTTACTTACTGGTCCCTATGTATACCCTGTATACCTTGATTGGGACTCGTGGTGACCTTCTAATTAACCTTTGATCCTTTGATGTTTACTAAACATGGTACACAGAAACTGTATTAATTACTATGAAATTTTTTAGATTGATAATATATTAATTAAATATGCCTTTAGTCTTTGAAAGGATTATTATACAATGTGCAATAAAAAATAACCTTTATTACATAAAACTTTTTATTTCACAGAAAATTTCGATGTTAATTTTAATATGCTAAATGGTAAGCCTAACGTAGAAATGTTATTGGTCAAGTTCGGAGCAGCACTTTGTGAAGTGATAAAATTTAAATAATGTTTCTAATACTAGAAATGGGTCACTTATATTTTCCTTTTTTTATTCAGATAAGAATTTACAAGCAATGATTTTTGCATGTTTTATAATAGATGGGATCCTGGGGATTAATGAATTAGGTGTAATTTATTTGTTACAAGAGTTGTTTGTTGTTTTTTTAATTAACACATACACTAACAGCTAAAACAATCTTTGTTTTAATACTTGAATAATTATAATATGATAATATGGTAATTTTTTAAAAGCGTAGGGGCACGTTTTCAAACAGTCAAAATAAATCAATATATAATTGAAAAACCTTTTTACTACTACATGTCTCATATAATTTTAAAATTGTCTCAAAATTCCCAACACATGATAATAGGTCGGTAATTATTCAGCACAATGTGAAGTTATCATACTCAGTCATGCCTCACCGCACACAATAGAAAGGACAGTTATCCAAACAATGGAATTACACGTTTTGCTCTAAATTGTCCAAATGCAGCAATGTATAAACTATCTCTGCTTTGGGTTGTTTTTTAAAACCTCCCTAGTATAAATATTACTAGTCATTGAATTGCGACTTTTTGTCTCTTTTTAATAAAAAGAAAAACTTTGAAAAGTTGCATTGAAATAGCTAAATAAAGGGACCTCAGGTAGATAAATAAAGCTATGTAGGTAATTCTACCTACGTAGCTAAATCCAGTGATTGTACTGGACCTGTTGGCCTGTGTTCCGTCGTATGACTAAGCCCATTTACAAAATTTTATATTTGATAAAGTATAGTCTGTACCGTTTCTTTCGGATCTGGAAAACTCGAACTGTCTTTCTTTTCTTTAAAATCACATGGTCTCCTTCTTTAATCGTTACATCTGACGATTTCTTTCCCCTCACACATGGATTGACTAGAAGTCGCCATAGTCATCAATGTTAGACAAATGCTTTAATGAAGATTGAAACAGACATTTTTTAAAACACTCGATTGATTATGACTCTGTAAAGCGACATCTGTAAATAAACACACGTGCGAACATTCGAAATGAAAGTAAGACGATGTCTTACGAGACCGTTAGAAAACAGATAAGTACAAGAAAAGAGCTTCTTGAAATTTGAAAAGTCATCTGTAAACGTTTACAACCTTTCCAGGGAATATTCAAGGAAAAAATCTGAACAAATTTCAAAAAGTGTGGTTTCCTTTAAAAATCACAAAGTCAACAATTTGTTCGATTCGCAGTTCATCCGATTCCGACAAAATCTTGTAACTGTATTCAGTATTGATGACATTGAACATAACCAAATTGAACTTATAACGAAATATGTTTGTTTTGTAAAATCTCCGTTTGTAGGTGAGCAAATCATTTTCAAACTTTCAAAAGACTGTGAAAGCAATTCCCAATCTCTTGTGCTCATATTTTTCCCCCTCCAAGACACGACTCTGGATTTGGAGATGGCTCAACTCAGTAATTCCACCTCAGAGTTGAAAAGAAATCAGCCTCGATACTTTGTCAAGTCATACCCAAAATACTTGCCAATGACATTAAGTGCTGGTACATCTGCATTCAACATATTTAAGAACAGAAGTGGACATAAAAGCTCCGATGTGCTGGTTAGATATTCAAGCATGGTATGTCAAACAAAAACAGCTGGATGAATGTGAAATCAATAATGGAGTTTTTAAATCCAAAAGTGATTCTGTTATAGCATGTAACAATACCAGTGATGCAGGAAACGGAGTTCGCACTAATTAAATAACCACTAAAGCAAGATTGCAAAGAAAATTTAAATACTCTGCCACTGTAGAATACATAGAAAATGCCACAAAGGTCTTTGAAGATTCTGTAATTGAACTGGTTCTTCAAATGACAAAGGAATTCAATGTCTATCGATATAAACTACGAACAGAATTACTGGTGGACTGTCTGAAATTTTTCTGTGTTCCCCATGAAACACCCATTGTGAAA